TACTATATGGTACAGCAGTAACAAAGGGGCAAGTGGATGAAACCACAGTCCATGAAGGGGGAGCCGGAACCCAGCATGTCAGATGCTGGAGCTCCTTTGGCAGCCATGACTCTTAAAGTCAATAAAGATCAGTGTCGGCGCTTGTCAGAGAGCTGAGTAACGTTCATTGTAATTTTGCTCAGACCTCGCATACATTTGTTTTGAAACATTCCTTATACTGGTCATAAAGAGCCATGCAAGCTTCTGAATATGATCTTATCATTGTACACTACTGACACCTTGTAAAGATGGCCGTTCCAAAGGTCATGTGTTGTTGGCTCTGGGTGACCTCGGAATTATTGGCTCGGTTTACACCGGAGAATATAAAGGTGCGTCCTGCTCAGCGTCTGGGCGTGGAGGTCAGTCATATCCTTCCTCTCAGTCTGTGTAGGTCGTGTTTCGTGTTGGGGCTTATTTAGCGGAATGTGACTCTATACCCTGCAGAACGTCGGCGCTCGTATCTTGTCGTACGTCCTTGGCCGTACTGCAGTGCTTTCCTTACAGTAGAAAACTTCCCGCAGGTTCCCTTATCTATATGTGATGTTAAAGTGGACCTGTTATTGAAATGATCAGTTGTATTGGCTGTTTGTATTTGTGATCTTGAAGAAAAAAAAATTGGCTGCAAGTCACTCAATCTGGCCAAAAACTGTTCAAATTTTGGCTTAAGCTAGGTTCAGACCTGAGCGACACCCGGGTGGGCGTCCAAGGACCGCGCGATCGTGTGTTAATGCATACAGCAGTTGCTGCGCGGCTCCATTGATTTCAATGGGGTTACATCCGTGTGGGAATCGCAAAAAAAAGCTACAAGTACCTTTTTGTTTTTGTGACACGACGCCCAGGTTTTTTTGTTCAATTGCATGGGCGGAATCGCGGCAGGAAACTGCGCAATCCGCCCGGCGCGCCATTAGGCTAGGTTCACACCTGGGGCGATTCCTGATCGCACAGCAATCGTGCACAAAACCGGGCGGTCATGGAGTCGCCCACCACAGCTGATGATGCTGTGGGCGCCAGGCGGATTCCGCAGTTGAACCCGCGTTGTGTCGCATAAAAGGTACTTGTACAATTGCCACGCGGATGTAACCCCATTGAAATCAATGGGGCCGCACAATAAGCGCTGTAGCTCTAGCACACGAACACGCGGTTCCTGGGTGTCGTTCAGGTCTGAACCTAGCCTTAGAAAATAATGCCACCCACAGCGCGACCGGCTGTGGTGGGCGACCCCGTGACTGCCCAGCAATCCGCTCGGTTTTGTGCACAATTGCCGCGCGGTCAGGCGTCGCCCAGGTGGAAACCTAGCCTGATTGTTGATGAAATTGGAGCTGTGACTGGCCAGCAAGTTGTTTTTCAATTCAACCGAGCCGGGTGAAAAATCATCGGTTGTACCGTAACTGCGTCCAATCAGATGTTCAGGTATTTAGGCAGCCACGGGTGCTGAATGCAGTAGCCGGTAGGGGAGATTCCTCCGTCCACACTAGGGGTGGGCAACTCCACCCTGACATCCATTGGTCCATTGAAATCAATGGAGGCGCACGCCAAATGCAGGAAAGAAATGCCCTGAAATGCGCGTCACTGCGACTTACGTTCCCACAATGCTAAGGTGTGAATGGAGGCTTAGGCTTGCCATACACTCATAAAGGGGAAGTTACCAAAACTGGAGCAGACAGAATCTGGAGCAGTCATCCACGGCAACCAATCAGCTTCTCTCTTTCATTTTCAAAGTGTAACTGAACCTACTGTGAGGATAGCTGGTTACTATTGGCAACTGCTCCAGATTCTGTCTGCTCCAGTTTTGATAAATCTCCCCTCATAGACTTTTCTCCTTCACCAAGCTGGACAGATGGAAGTTTGTGGTGTTGGCAGGGCCTCCCGTGGCTTGAGTTTCGGCTGATTCCGCAGGAATTCTCTGAAATTGAAGCTGTGTGTGTTCATCTTGATGGTAGATCTAGGAGGCACGGGCTGTATCAAATATCTAATCACGTTGTTTTCTCTCTCTCAGCCTGAACATGGCGTCGAGAGGTACGTCAGAGACCGGTAAACTCCGGCAGAACCTGGAGGAACAGCTGGATCGCCTAATGCAGCAGCTCCAAGACCTGGAGGAGTGCAGGTGAGGCAGATGTGGCATCTGAGTATAACCTTGGCACTCCGTCTGTGCTGAAACTACATATCCCGTCAATGGCTGCGGCTGTTGGAGTCTTGCAATGTCTTGTGGGACTTGTAGTTCAAGAAAAGCTGGAGAGCTGACATTGCCTGCCCCGGGTATAAAGGTACCTACAGACCTCTGATGGTCAGCACAGTCTGGCAATATGAAGAACTTTCTAAAAGTTTATGTTTTGATTGGCTAACTCTACATGTATGACCTATAGAAGAGGGAGGCGGGGGGTGTGCACAGGTAAAAACACATAAAGGTCCATGGACCTGCAGGCTTTAGACTAGGGGTAGCAAAACTCCGGCCCTCCAGCTGTGGTGAAACTACAAATCCCGTCATGCATCTCTCTTCAGGAGTCATGTCTGTGGCTGTTGAGAATCTTGCAATGCCTCATGGGATTTGTAGTTCCACCACAGCTGGAGGGCCGGAGGTTTGCTACCCCTGCCATAGACCATGACTTGGCTTTGGATCTGCTTTGATATAAACCTGTACAGTGGTGGCGAACCTTGGCACTCCAGCTGTTTTGGAACTACAAGTCCCATGAGGCATTGCAAGGCTCTGACAGCCACAGACATAACTCCCAGAGGCAGATGCATGTTGGGATTTGTAGTTTTGGCACAGCTGGAGTGCCAAGCTTCGCCACCACTGAACCTGTATACAAGCTGCAGTGTGGGGGCTGTTCGGAGCTCTAAACTTTGTGTGTCATTTGGGTTTCTGACTTGGGAACAGCGGATGTGAACAGCAGCCGCCTTCTGACCGGGCATAGTGGAGTTCTTTGTTACACAAAAAAAGGAAACAAGTCATTGTGACGTTCGGAAGGATTCTGACATTCTGAAGCATATTCTGGGTTTCTCCTGCTGCCTTTTAAAGGGACCCTCTCCCTCACTTTGTGCCTTTTAAAGCTGGACACTGGATTTAACACAATCTCTACCCCCAGCAGACCAATAGTCCTGCATTATACATGAGGATGGAGAGGGCCCGCCCACAACCTGGAGCATCAGAGAGAAGAGGAGACAGTCCGTGTACCCATCGCACTCCTAAAATGGAGGGTGGGTGCAGCAGGTGTCAGCGGGTGGCTTCCGACAAAATATCAATAAAGGATGGACACCGGCACTCAAGTCATCACTTGTTTGTCTGATGAAGGGGATCCTGTGAGACCCCGAAACATTGTTTAGAGTTTTCTATTTGCAACTAGTACGTTAAAGGAGAACTATGAGATGAGTGATTTCCACTCACCTCATAGTTCTAACCGACCTGTGACAATGAGACTGTCACAGGTCGGCTCAGTAGATCGGGAGGTGAGCGAACACATACCGGGTTCGCTCACCTCTCGATCCTGTCACGGCTCTCTGCAGTGACAGGGGAGGGGCTGGATTGCCCCCGCTCCGATCCGCCAGCGCTGACTGGCGGAATGGATGGGGCAGGGGGCGGGTACAGCTGGCTCTGCCTTTAGATAGGCAGAGCCAGCTGTCAGTCTCGCAGCTGGGCGAATCACGGCGCAATTGTCGGGATCCGCTTCAGCTGCGGCGTCTCAGTATACCGCTAGCTACAGCTCGCTGTATACTGAGCCTAGGGTAACGGGGGGGACGCTAGTTTGTGTCCTCCCGTTACCCTAAGGAGAACTATGGGGAAAAGAACCGGCCGCAATGCGGGGCAGTGCGTTCTGGCCACAATCGGGCCGGAACGCACTGCATCTGGTGTGAACGTTCCCTTAATGTTTCATCTTTGACCATGGACTCAGGATGTCTGTAAAAGCTTAGAATAAAAGTACACAGACCCCTAAGGTGAGGTTTGCTGTCTTGCAGGGAAGAGTTGGACGCTGACGAGTACGAGGAAACCAAGAAAGAAACTTTAGAGCAACTAAGTGAATTCAATGACTCTCTGAAGAAGATTATGTCGGGGAATATGACTCTGGTGGATGAGCTGAGCGGGATGCAGCTGGTAAGACTCTGCCATTGTAGTAAGCGCAGGTTTGTGTTTGTTGTAACATTTGCAATTTAAAGCCCTTCACTGGGCAAATATTAAATCCCCTCCCCCTCTAACTGATCAGGGGCTAAAAAACTGTAAACGCCCTTTTTACCTACCTAAAGCCACGGTCAAACCTCCCTTCAGGCATCTATGTCAGTGCCTGCATGACATGGACACTTCTATTGGCTGTGCAGTGGCGGGGTCCCCTCAGGATCTAGAAGAGGAGTGACGTTGGCAAAAGCCCATCTGCAGCCCTGGATTAGCGGACTTTGGTAAGTAAGAAAAAAAATGTGCAGGATGGATTGGGGGGGGGGGGGGGGTT